CATAAAATTATGTCAATTATTTTTTGAATTGTGTATGACCTTGCTACCTCACTCAATTTATATTGTATATTATATTGTATCCCATATTTGGCGTTTCTAATATGGATACGTCAATACATCATATTATTATATTAGGTATACCAATATACCTACGCGTTGCAATGATCAATAGAAGTTATGCTGTATTGTGTTTATAGAACTGAGTTTATAATATTATAGTATGTGAAAACTTATGCTTATAATTATTTTATATTTAACATTTTTGTGCTATACCGTTTTTAAAAATATTAAAATATAGATTCCGCAATCTGCAAGATCTCTCATAACTCTGTTAACAGGTAATGTCGTTAAATATCTACTCCCACAGTTCCACTAACCTACAAGACTATACATAGGTAGATATGTCATAATTATAAATATTCCACTTTAATATTAATTTAAGTAAAATAATAGTTGTATTTTTATTAATTATGATTCTGAAATGTAAATTGAATATTTTACATAAATTCAATACACATCATTACACGCAATGCGTATTTCAATTTCCATCACAAAATAAATTCAATTAACAAATTAAATATATTTAAAACGTTTTCTAACTATGATAAAATACTACAGAATATTTATAACTAACTTTAAATTATTTTAATGGAATAATGTATTTATAATTTTGATTGATTTTTAATTAATTATTATGGATATTTGAACAAGCCTCGTAAGTGTTTTAATATATTTTAGTGTCAGTATTTTTAAGCAAGTCTTTCTGTTTAACCCTTTTTCATTGTAGTCATAAAAGTATTTCGCAATTTTGTTTTAAACTACTAATTAATAGGAAATTAAGTTTTACATTTATTTATATTAGGTATTCAATTATTTTAATTTGACAATTTTTTTAAATTATTATTATTGTAATAAATTATTAACTATTTTGTTAGGTGACATTTACTAGGTAATTATGTATGCATGTTCATACCCACCTATCATTTAATTATTGTTAGAATAACATAAATAGTTCAAAATAATAAATGTACTTACTTAAATATTTTAAAATCTGTTATAATCAATTATTAGTTTTTCAAAATACTTGTAGGCATTCCATTTTAGTTTCGTTGAAAAGAATAAAGTGATGTTTTGTTTTATGTGTAATATTTTTACAGTAGTCTAAACGATAATAAATCAGAGCCATTATATAGGTTAAAGAGAAATGACTCCTATTTAGGTTACGACCTCGTAATCCCTATAGGCCCCACGTACTGGCCATTTGCCTAAATGATTTTGAAATTCATCAAACAGTGCCAAAAATTAAAATTATCAAAAATACAAAAATAGAATCAATTTATTAATAATTGGTAAAAGTATCAAATCTTAGTGGTAATAGATATTTCTTAAGATATTGAAAATTAAATTTATACTGAGTAGGCAACTAAAAACTCAGTAACACTGTTTGTTATTGTCAAATTCAAACTTTAAATAAATTGTATATTAGGCTAAAATATGTCTTCCAAAATAAATATTAAATTTTATCTATTAATTTAACTATCTATTTTTTTAACATTAATATTAGAGATTACTATTCTATTGTATATAATGCTTTATCTGCCTTGTACTCTAGGGATTCGATAATTTTAACTAATGAGTTCTAATTAAATATATTTACAGCTAGTACACGTGAGTATACACCATATAATATATACATAGTTATCGTGTAATCATAAGCATACGTTAAAATAGAAATAAGAATAATATCTCATTAAAAATAACTAGTATATTCTGTATTTTGTCTTTCTTATCCATGTATGATACAGGCAATATCACTTCATTTTTGTTTTGTATCTTTTTATATCTTCAATTTTGTTTTCCGTGTTAACGTTTTAATACCTTGTACCTACATTTAATTTCAAAATTTTAACTGTTAAAACTTACTGTACCTGATAGGTACAAAGATTAAATTTTAAAAAAATAACAAGGAAATACATTTATTGTTGTGATAAGATTATATCTCAGGTCAATGGTTATAAATATGTTATATAGGACAACACTTTATAAAAGCAATAAAAAAGCTGGCAGAAAATTGTAGCTGTCATCTTAAAAATAGGATAATTAAACTTTTACTTTTGAGGCTGTTTGAAAACTGTTCAGGAATAGGAATATTTGATATGTTTTTAAATAATCGATAATATCCATTATGGCGCCCGCCTAAATTTCTAAGTTATAATTAATTTTAAGTGATGATAATACAATAAACAGTAAACTTATATGTATTTTATGCTTCAATTGGAATTTGGAAAATACATTTTTTTATAAGAATATAAAATATACAGTCTATACAGATATATGTAAAAATAAGTATATCACAGTGGCAATTCAAATTAATAGATTATTAAAACATAATTATAACATTAAATAAAACTACCATAGGCATTTTAGAAATGGCGAATCTTAAATTACAGCTTATTTTTTCTTTTTAAGAATATCTTCTAACAATAATTTGAATAATTTTCGTTGCATATAAACTTTAAAATAAAGCACTAATAAAAATATAAAAATATTACATTTAAACAGTTTTTACTTACAGCTTAAGCATAAACTAGATATTATAATCTAGTAAATATAAAGTATATAATCTAGTAATATATATCTATAGTTAGTATTTAAACGTAATGGATGTAATCAAAAGGTACTAAGGTAAATATTGTTCACTAAAAACACTAGATGATGAAATTTTAACATGATATTTAATTATAATTTTTTTTTATGTCTTATATCATTTTAAGGAAATCAAATGACTCATGGCTGATAACATCAACCTGCACTCTGCAAAAATCATACAGTGTTATATATTAATATTAATATTTAACTGTCCCATAATTATACATCTACTACATCTACAATATTATTATTGGCCCTTTAAGTAAGTAAAAATTAACACTAAGCACCTCCATCGTATATAACTATTATTGTTATTATTATAATTGCAATTTGGATGCTTATATTCGGAACGTATAATTAATTTGTATTAAACATTAATTACGCTCTTGAAGCATAGAGTGACCGAAATAACGTATTGCAACCGGAAGCTAATTATTATTTTATTTTATTTTATATGTATAATTATCTAAGTATAATTTTTTATAATAGTTGTTCTAATTTTACCATTGAAGTGCATAAACACTTTGGCCTTGGTGGCTTGGTGGATAAATTATTATCATTGTTGCAGCAGCGAGATACCCAGAAATAATAACAATTATTTAAATTATTTGTAAATGTCAATAAGTATAAATACCTAAGGCAGCCTGCAAGTAGCAGATTTTAACCTACCCACGTCGTTTCAGATATCTCTTTGGTTTTGATCACAAACCTGCATTAGAGTACTGTGTAACATCATAAGGTTGACTGGTATTGTATTATTTCTCTTGTATTATCGATTAGTCCCTTTGATACTACACGTAGGTGCATGTGCCCTTTATAGTAATTACGTTTGAACATAATATTATACATTATTATGTTTATTATACATGGATATTAATAATAATATTCGTATATCGCTGTATACTTCAACAACTTGTAAGTAGATGACGTTATGTGCAAATAACCAACACAACATAATCATTTCAGCTTTATGCTAAAACATCCAACGTTCCAATATGTTCAGTTTGCAGAGTTAGTATAAAGTAGACATCTAGTACCCATACTCATTGGTCATTAACAAGGGATCGGGACTTATCGGGACATATAGCACTTAAAATCATTAAAACTGGGGCTTAAAACATCATAATAAGCACTCAACTAAGCATTGGAACAACTTAATTTTGAACAAAAATATTTATTCAAAAAAAAACTTAAAAATTCTAACTAAAAAATCAAAAAAATAAATCTTTATCTTTAACTTAATGTGTTACACAAGAAATTAACTTCTCTTTCGAGACTCTAGAATTGTAGGGGTTTACCGAGGGGTTTTCTGAAAAATAAAATGTAAGCAATTTTTACAAATATTTGAAAAAAAAAATATTAATTAATGAAATCATTAGTCATTAGTTGTGAACTCAATTATATTAACTAGTTTCCCCTAAATCCAGTTCTATTTTAAGAGTTGGAATATTTTTATTAACCTTGCAATGATGCCGTGGACGGCGACGGACTACTCGACTAAGTTGATAAGGTAAGAATTATTTTAATTCTAACGAAAACAACTTAGAAGGAAAAAACCAGAAAAAGTAGATAACTAGTCAAAAAAACAAAAATAATCTGAAAAACTGGAAATAAGCATTTTTTTAAAAATCGCTGAAAAAAAGCAAACAAAGCCCTTTTAAATTTCATAATTGATGTTATTGTAACATAACACACTTCCATAGCACTCTGCTACATTACAAGGCAATCCATACAAATAAGCAAATGCTTTAAGTCTCTGGACCTTAATGATTTGGATTCATAATAGTAGTTTACGATAAAAACATTTATATATTATACAATTGTATCTTTGTAAGTAAGCACGTTATTAAAAAATTGAAAATACAAATATGATTAATTTATGGTGCATATAAATAAAATCGTGCAAAAACGATTAAAACGTAATAAAAAAGTGATTTTTTAAAATATAATTAACTCTATTATAGGTTTTAGAAAATGTAATTTTCATATGGCTAAAAAGCATTTTATGCGTATAGTATAAAAATATTCTTATGGTGAAAATAAATAATTATAGATAGGTACCAATGGTGACTATAACGGTATTGTTATAAATTACTTAATAAATAGATCGTCTACCGTCTACCTGCATAAAACTATTTACAATATAAGTGATATAGGTACTACAGTATATTTAAATTGGTGAATTAGAATTTGACTTTAGTTTTTCCTTCTTTTTAATAAACACCAAGACAATAATAAAAACATACTATTTTAAACAGTTGTAATTAGGTATACCTATTTTTTTAATTAAATTTAACATCGTGCAATTAAATAGTAATTTATTTGTAAATGCATAATACATTCGTGTCAATAATAATAATAATAATAATAATATATTTTTGAACTAAAAAATATGATATTCGGAGCCTCGATAGTCGCCTGCATTAGGTGTTGAAGCGGCTCCATTACAATTGTACATTGCGTTGACTTTTCGCAAGTCATTGACCGTGGCTCCGGTTCTCTGTCCCAAACTCATACTTGGTTCGTGCTTAGAAAAAAAAAGTCATTTACTATAACACATTCCACTTGTAGGTACCATATAAAAGTAAATATTTCATAGTTCAATGACAGCAACAACACCACCTGCTACTATAAGCACAGTAAAAAGTCAAGTATTTCAGTCCATGTATTATCGTTTACCACATTATGGGTAATAATTTATGTATGTATATTATTTGTCATAGATGAACAATATGTTGTTGCTACATTTGAAAACAGAACTAAATTATACTATTCGATTTGAATGTAAAAAATACTGAATTTGTCAATCGTTCGCGAACAACATTTTTATTAAATTGTTAATCGTAATAAAAAAAATTATTGATTTCTGAAATTTGAAAAAATCAGCATCTAAAAATATTTATATAAAAATAAGTCTCAAATATAATTTTAATTGTAGCATTTTTGACTTTTTGAAACTTTATGTTTAATGGAAAAATCGAATTAAACTTAACTCTTAACAGAAATCTAATTATAGCGTTCGTTTGGTCTATTTCCCGAGAGTAGCAACACAATTATGAGTTTTTTTAATTACTGAAAATAAAGTTCGTCGCAATTTAGTAAATACACACGACAGCTAGCTGTGCGCAACAATCCAGTTTAAGTGCTCGATAATTCAATTTTAGAATTGAACATTACCCTAAGGGTAAGTATAAGGATAATCCTTTTTTTAAAATTCATCCTTTATAAAACAAATCAATACAATCACTTACTAAATAATATTAAAACAAACATTTACTTAGCCAAAAATAAAAAACAAATATAATTAAATCATTTTAAGGTAATTCGACAAAAGTGTATTAACTAAATTAATTTCATAAAAAAATTTGTACTAATTTTATATTTTAAATTAATAATGCGTATATGTGACTTCATGACTTGGTTCAATCCCATTTAAAACACAATAAAAAATATTTACTTGAGACTTGCATTAAAATAAAAGTGTTTACAGTTTTATTTTATGCAAAGTTATTGTATGTTGAAAATACTTAAAATACCTTTAACGTAATATAATATATTAAATATATGTTTTAAGATTTCTATTTATTCTTATAATAATGTTAGAAATTCTTTTCTACTTAATTTTCAAAAAAAATACGAAAAGAACACAAAAGAACCTTATTGGAAATTCAAGTACAATTCCCGCTGGATAGAAACTTTTTTATAATTCTAGAAACTTAAACTTTACACTATATTATATATTTAACATTTGTTATCGTGGTATAACTTCCAACATATTTTAGTTCCTACTAAGAATTTTAAAACTTTTGAAAAATATTTTTCCCTGAGTTTATTTTTAGTAAAATTTGTGACAATAATTTCAAAAAATTTTAAATTTTAAAATACAATCGTTTTTTACTTATAAAGTTCTATCTATAAAAAAAAATTCAAAATTTGTTATTCGACCACATTCTTGTATGAAAATATATTCTTTAAGTGTGCAAAAACAATAGTTAACAAAGTTTTATAAAAATTAGATGGATTTTTCATTGCTTTCACATACAATATAATATATTTTATACCTAACACAATAGTTTCACCGAGGGATATAGATCACGTTCGTATGAGATAAGTGCCAAAATCAGTCACGGCATTCTGTCAGTAAATTGATTATGGTATACAGTAAAAATATTTGCCCTATTAAAATTGTGTACAAACACTGCAGTTCATATTAAGTTCTATTATTTCCAACCTCAATCATTATATAAATGTTGTTAAAAAGGTAATATGAGTTAGAGAGTAAGAGACCATCACATCAAAGCTTGTAATAATGATTAATTTTTCTTCGATAAAATTCTACTGAAAAATCGAAAACTGTTCATACGAATTCAAACTAAATATACGTAACATGCTTTACAACTTACCTTAGCAACAATGGTTTCTTTACCGTTTTTTGAAAAAGCATAACGTGGGTAATGCATTACACTAGTATAATCATAAGGTAGTCCGAAAGTAGTTGTTACATTGTCAGGCACTTTGTTAAAGTCTGGCCAATATGCTGAAAATAAAAAATTAATACACCATTAGAAAAACCACCTATTGTATGTATTTTTAAAATAACTGTTATTAAATAAGTTATAAAAAATTTGAGCAATAATTTGAAAACGATATATTAATATATTATGTCATACGATAAGAATGAAGTATTAATAACTATAACTGTGATTCTTTGCTTTGCAGTTTATATACTCTTAAATACTATATTTCTATAGATGACAAAGGGAGCTAGAACGCACTGAAGCTCAAAGCTTTTGTACAAAATTATTTTCCGACAAACTACAAACGAAGTAGTTTATTAAACAGATATTATTTTAACTTATATCTACATAATTAAAAATGTTCTACAACTTTTTACTACGATAGAAGCTTGTGATATATTATGTTTCAAATTTTGAATGTTTGATCGACCAACTTTTCGGACTTTCATGAGGGGAAAATGAAATAAAAGGGAAAATTCATTAGGTCAGGTAGTCGTATCCTAACTCTAAGTAAAGTCTGGATCGTTATATAGGATATTGGGTTTCAAATAAACAGATTAGCTTTGAATCGTCCTGAAAGGTTTCTTGGTAAATAATAATATTAATATTGTATAAATCAAGTATCATCACTGTCGTACATATTAAAACTGTTTCAATAATGTATTATACGCAGATTATTATGGAACTTGTACAAATAGAAAAGGGGCGTGGAGCCCAAAACCAATGTGAAACTCATCTCCGACATACATTTTTGTTTTGTAATATTTTATACTGAAAGTTCAAACGAGAGTTTTTCAAATGGACCGTCCACCACCCACCGAAATGAAATCCTGGCTTCGCGCCTACAGTGGTATCATATTACACATCGCATTACTAAACATTCCTCGTATATATATAAATATACAATACATACACAAAACCTATTAAATATATCGTGCTGTAATACAATATACACTCTGTATAATATCATATAATAGTATGGTACACAGAATTGTATCTCGGATACCATTATACCTACCATTTGAAATTGTCGTAGGTATATCTGATGGGTCGGTACATGGTCACAAAAACTACACAAAGTAAGCGTTGTTTTTGACGCACAAAGGCCACTGCAGTCAAGTGGGTTACGAAAGTTCGAAACCTACAACTTTAAAGTGCTCATGCCCAGCTCAGTACGTGCTCGGTATTTTTCGATTAGGCGGAGATTACGTTTAAAAAAAGTTTGAAAATTATGAAAACTATACATATTATCAGTAGATATATACAATAATAAAATATCGTAATTATTTGTTTTGCATGATTCAAAGGAGAAAAATTCGAGTTACCGAATTTTCATATAGATAAATTTAGAGGGCCGTGGGAGTTAAGAAATTCAAACCCCATTATAGCCCCACCCCTTAGCGGTGCGCTGGGCTGCATCTAGGCCACACGATCGCTGACATATTAGGAAACCTCCTGGGTTTTTAGATTTGTCAGAAACCATCGCGAAATGTTGTTTAAAAATTGTAAAAACACCGATTCATGACATAATAATTCAAAACATGGTTATACCCTTGTCGATGTTTTCCCAGTAGATGATCACCGCGTTGTCACGATCGGCACGGGCCTGTTCGTGGAGCAGCCCGACCACGTGTAGGAGCTCATGCTGCACCGTGCCCTGGTGGTAGATGCACGACGGCGACTCTAAGTTCATGTTGTGAGGGCGGCCCATATCCTGGTGAAAGCCGATCATGGCGTTGCAGCCCTTGTTCCGCTCGCGGCCGATGTGCACGTACTCCGAGTGTCCTACTTCCTTCAGCAGTTGTGTCGCGTTCCCACCGTTTGTGTCGACAAACCGCAGACACGTTTTCGACTCGAGCGAGTCCATGGCCATCCGGATCTTGGACCGCTCGTCTTGTGCTGCGGCACGAGGAAAAAAGTGAGAAAAAAAACGGTTAAATAAAAAAAAACCCGATCATTTGCATGACGATCGAATTTGGTGTAGATTAAAATGGGTCCGAGAGCAGAAGATATCAATCAACATGTGTACATATATATATATATATAATATATATCCATATCAATAAGTTGATTTACAAGAACGTATAATCAGTACCGAATTTGTACATCCCTTTCCGACTTTTTCCCGCCTATTCGAGTATCGGACCTTTCAGATAGCGTTCACATTCGATAATTAATAACATTAAAATACATATTATGTACGTTGTACACCATGTGTATAGTATATGGTACATATATCATAAGGGTCAGCGTTAGGTCCTCACATAGTTGCACACACTCAGCATAGCTCTGCCGCGCCTCCTAACTAAACATTAAAACGTACTTCGTATATTGTACAAACACTGCGCGGAAAGTGTTAGCAATTTAATTTTTTAAATATTTATACCCTTAAATAAATTATTAAAATGCTTACTCGGATTTTCGATTAAATTCAAAAAATGCTTGAATCTATTAATATTGTTATGGAGTGACTCTTATCAGTACAGAAATATTTTTTCAAATACTAAATAAAAAATAAAATTAATTGACGAAGACAAGTACGGAGAGAAACCATAATAATGTATACTTTAAATAAATACTTTAAAATATAGATGTAATTTATTTAGGTATATACCATGTACGTAATCTAATAATAATCGAAGTTCTCGGCTATTGCAATAAAGTAAATAATTAAGTTTTAAAAATTAAGCTTTAATACTTTAAGCGTTAAATGCGAAGTAAACGTTAAATGTAAGAGACGGGTGGCATATATGCGCATTATAATGGGGTTATTCAAGGCACCATTTTTACTAAAGCCTAAAAGCTTTTAATGTAATTTATATTTACTTACATAGAACAGAAGAAAAAAGTGCTCGCGTGATACGAAAAGTGTATATATTGTATTACAGTAATCGTATTTTTGTTTCATTGAAATTCCGATTTTTGCATTAAAGTGCAAAATACTGAAAGTGTCATTTTTTTTTTTTTAGATCTATAATTCGATTTACTTACTAAAATTATAATGGATTGTATAAGGAACTATTGCCTTGGGCCATTTATAGTAATCTGACATTATGGCATTCCTCGAAACTGGCAGTACTATATCTCCTTGATACAATCGAGATCTTAATTCTGGATACATATCTAATAACAAAATAAACGAATATGCATAAGCAATCTAAAAAATAATTTTGAATATATATTCAACACATGATAAGTTTTGACAGTTTGATTATGCGTTAAAAATACATAATTGCTATAATTGTCATAAAACGTATACCTACGGTAATATAACACTAATAGCAATCATCTCGTATTCAAATAATACTCTAATAAATATACCTAATGTATTGTCTCATAACTCTATGACATTTAACCTCAGAAAACTGAATTTGTCTAACCTTTCTTCATTTAACTCATGAACGATCTGGAGTGATTTATGTTGTATTATTAAAGATGGGCCCACTGAAACTTTCTACAGTTCCCCCGCCATTTGGGGTGATAAAACTCAAATGCAATTATTATAATATAATTATTCAATTTTATTTATTGACGCTCAGTCAGTGGACTATACGATGAACGCACAATTGGTGTATTCTGTTTCAGTTTTTTCGATCCACAGATCTGTAATATCTGCCATTTTTCATGAGTCTTTACTCTTTTATGCGTTTTAAGAGTTAATAGAAGAACGTCTGCTATCTTCTTTCAACATATACTCGGACTATAAACCTAGCTATACACCGTGTTTATTATTTTATTATAGCCAAACTGCGTTCAATTTAAATAAATGCGACCTATTACCAACGATAAATGTACTTCAAGGAAGTGTTAATCCTGCAATGTCCTACTGGCTACTACGTAGGCTTTTTGGGCACGTCGTAAATAACTTAACATAATAGATGTGCCTATTTCAAAGGTGTAGTGAACCGTGAAGGGTATAACTACGTGTATACTCATAAATCGTATCTCATATATAGCCATATGTGTGATTAATGATTATAATATAAAACGCGATAGGTTCTATAGACATGAGAATGAAATTATTAAGTGATGGTGATGAGTTTTATACTAATTATTCATGTTAAAAAAAATCCAACAATCAACAGATAATATAATCTATTATAATTTATAATATTTTATTATTGACGTATATATTCATGTTTTATCAATATTACATAGAATAGGTGTATGAAAAAAAAAGCTATTTCTATTTTAATGCAATAACCATATAATATTATGTATCACTCGAGGTGCGGGTTTTAAATAAAATGTTTTTGATTTCGAAGTGTGGGTTTGATCCATAATATGTTTTACATACTATTGTGTATGCATTTCAAAGTATATTGGGTTGCCATAATATGATGTATCAGGATGTGACGTGGGAGCCCATCTATCATTTATTATACTGCAAATGTTCGATTTAAGAGTACTCTCAAGTCTCAATCTCAAACAGCCATTATTGCTATGCATACGGTTTCTATTAAATCTAGATATTTGCGATAGCAGCCATGTAAAATTAATGTTCAAATGACAGTTCCGTCTGCTGTTGGCACTTGGTCGGGGCACTCTTGTACACAATATGTAAGTACACGTGTATAATATATTTAGATATGTATATCACGCATGACTTTCCGAGAACAAATTAAGTGCGACAATGGGTCATGTTTTTCTGACTTTCCGACTGTGCGGACGTTTCTGGGAAAAGGGATCCATCAGCCCCAACGAGTCCCGTAAAGTATGGCTGTTGAACATATTTACACAATACACGATTAATTAATTCAGTGTTTTGTTCACTTAAATTATGTTTGTTGGTTCGTTGTGTCTATACAGAGAGAAATGCAAATAACTACCGGTAGGATGTAGATAATAGTTACCCGATATAATTATCAATGACAATGAAAGCCAATTATTATCAAAACGTGATGATGACTCATAAGTGGGGTGTACAATTTCATCAAATTTCTTTCTTTAATTTAAGTGGAATAACTAATTATAAATCTTAAATATAATTTTTTTAATTTCTTGTATTCTAATCATTTATCACTACACTTAAAGAGAGGAAAGAATGTTATAAGTATATGTTAGTAAACTATGAAACAAAGATATACCATAAACCGTTAACATATCCTACAAGTTCGTTTATACATCTACTATTTATAGATGTACTCGTACATTTCGTTGCCCGTTAAAAATATCAACTCAGTATGATTCAAAATTTATTCGATTCGTTATTTTATATTAAGTTTAATGGTGTTCTAAACTTAAAAATTTTTATCGACCATTTTGAATCTCAAATACTAGTGTAATACTCAATACTGCAATGCGTTTTATTAAAAATATTTATACATTTATTTTATATATTTTTTATTTACTAATTATTTCTAACAATACAAACCTTCACATTACATTTGACTCAAAAATCAAACATATTTACAAAAAATAAGGAACCAACTATCAATAATTATTTATTTCAGGATACATAATATGTATTGTATACGTATAGCTGTATAAATTTTTTTTCATTATTTTATTAAAATATTTCAAAAAAAGTGAAATTTAAAATTTAAAAAACTCTTTTTAAGTTACCTATAAAAACATTATTTTTTTGGTAAATTTATTAAAATCTACAGCGAGAATATGGCAAAACAGTTGTTAATGATAAAGAAAATGTTCAAGAAAACAAAATGAAAATATTAAACGAATAATATATATACAAAGTATTTGAAATATTTTTATTCTATTCAATGCCAATGGCAGACGGAAATAGATCACTTTAACTCTACAATAATATGTATTGTTCATATTATAACCTCTATAACTATTATAATGTAACATATAAATCTATATTTTTAAAATTATTTAAAAACTAACATATTTACTGTAATAAAACTATTATGAATTATTAACGACATTTTCTGAAATGTTTACCTCTACGGCTCTATATGTCTGTTAATTTTAATATTAAAAGATATCTTTATTTCATTTTATTTTTCAGATAAGTAACAAGCTAACGTATCCAAAGCCGTTCAAATATTATATGATGACTAAAAGCTAACAAACTAAGTAGATTTTAGGTTAGAGTTAATGATACCAAGTTGCGCAAACATTTCATAAATTTAACGACTCGTTAAAATTTAATGGACCAATCATGAATTCATGAGTCACTATTTGATGTGTGAGAGAATCTGTTAAATATTTAAGGATCTGTAAAACTCTAATGGACGTCTATGAACCCCAGCATATGCAATAATATGATTGTAAAGATAAAAATGAATTTTGGTTTTATCCTCTGATAAATACAAAATAAAATAATGTCCGCCATATGTTATTATTATAGCTCAGTACTTAAGCGTTTCAAAATAATAACTAGAAATTGTATTCCTCCTTAACGTCTGAATCACCGTCTGTTTTTATGCCATTCCTAAATAATATAAACTTTAAGACATTTTAAATTGTAAATTCTTTTTGTATGTCATGTAGTTTTGAAAAACGGATCAACTAATATTTGTCAAAACTATTTTATATTACGTACCAAATGAGAGTAATTTAAAATGTTTGTACAGTGTTATGAGAAAGAGGATCCTCAAGACGAAAATAATTTTAATAATTTCAAACTTTTATATTTTTTCCAAAATATGGTTAAAATATTTTTTAATTGATTTTACTTTTATACAATGATATTTAAACACATAATTTATAAAATTATAAAATCTCTAAGATTGTTTTTTTTTCTGAAATAAGATTTACAACAGATTACGCCAAATCTATTTTGTTTAGTGGGGCCAATGAAATTTCCCATTCATAACTTTTCTTTATTATAGATAATGTTATAAGTAGAAAATAACATTTTCATTAGGTATCTACAAAGTTTAAAACTTAAGAGATTCAACCTACCGAAATAATAAGGATTACATATCGCATACATAAAAAATAAAAATAAATAGGTGAAACACTAAATAAATGTAGTAACCAATATACTACAAATATATGAATCTAGGAAAAAAAATCCCCGGAAAAAAAATCCCCCAAGATATACCTAACTGTTCTAAAATAATAATAATATACGATAATTTAAAAAAAATATAAAATTTGAATGATAACTACTATAATATTATCTTGATCACACAGCTAGATTACGCAAAAATTAAAAATAATTATAATAATAATGAACAAATCACATTGCGTATAAAATAAAAATAATATCTATTTACCTATATAATAAAAAGGTAATCAGTTCTCTTGAGTATGTTATTACTCACAGAGTCACAGCTGTCAAAAATTTCCCAAAGTAAACTTTGCAAACCTTACAAAGCAAACTTTGGAGATTTTTTTTTCGGGGGTTTTTTTTTCCTGTGAATTTTTTTTCCGGGGACTTTTTATCCGGGGGTTTTTTTCCGAGGATTTTTTTTCCGAATACCAAATATATTTGGTTGTTGTAATCTTGTGCATGTAGACTGTAGAGTGTTTAATCCCCAAATTATTTGTATGCCATTAAATAAATGTGCTTACTTAATAGTTAATTTTAAAAATGTGTACAGTTTTAAAATTGTAGTTTATATATTTTATTATATTTATTTTCTAATATTTTTCTTTCGGCATAGACATTAAAATAATTTAAAATACTACTATTCTCCCCTTCTGCCGCTGTCTTGCTTTTATCCTTTATCCAACGTGATTATCGTTCGATATAATTTTCCTTTTAGTTATCCCTCTATATGTCCTTCAACTCCACCGGTGTTGTGTTATAGTAAATTGTTATTTTTTTTAAATTGCAACTAAATAATTTTATTTTAGTTTTTATATATTTTGTTGATGTAAAATATAATATTATAATGTTTCAACAAAAAAACACTTAAAACAAGTGATAAAATATAAATAATATTTGACGTGAAAGGAAAATGTCCTAAATTCGCTTGTATCACAGTTGTAAAAAAAAATATGGTAAGCCCACTGATCGTCAAACTGCAAAAGGTACATACTTAAGCTTTGGGTGTGTCGGTGTACCTATAACATCGTCAGGCCCTGGTTTTTAAGAAGAAAATAATATTTATATAGTATACAGCAGAGGTCACCAAATAATTTTATCGGGCCCGCAGGTAGGAAAAAAGGTAAAAACCGATAATACGAGTATTAAACGTTCTTATGTTATAATTTATCATTTTTGTTTCATTGGTTTTTACTGACGACTTCAGCAATTTTGATGGTTTCCAGATTCCTAATGTTGTCCTTCAAAAATATTAATGGGTGACCCCTGGTAATAGCTGGTAAACAGTCAAGCCCGAATTAAGGACCAATTGGTCCTCGAGACACCATACATTTAGGGGCCCCCTTTCAACTTAAAAAAAAAACTGTGTATCACCACATTTTTTCGACTGTATATAATTGTTTAATTTTTCACTATATTATCTCGTACAGTCACAGATAATAAGGTCTATCGTCTATGAGCACAATGCAGTTTACAACTCCCATAATAAACATGATTTTATTTTTTTGAAAACTAAAAAAAAAATATATTACTTGGACAAATATAAAGACTCCCAAATTCAATGGAAACCGGGATCGTGTCATCCTGTCGCCCACCCCTTAATTCAGGCTCGTATACAGTGTATAACTGCTGGACATTTTATTTATTCCTTCACCAAGTATCTTGGCCACGGAAGGAAAGTATGATGATCTCTAGCAACAATAATCTCGCGGTCTCGAGTCGTCTTACCCGGGGTGTAATGAGAAGGCGGCTTCGAACCTTCTTTGAACCTCTCCAAGAGCGAGCTGACGAAATGCTGTCCGTCCTGCAGACCGACCGGGGAACATGACAAAATCCTCGCGACCGCGCACACGTACATGTAATAATAAAGAGCGTCGCCCGTCATGCCCGCGACGGGTTTTTTAATATTGTAAAAAAAAATTCCTCGATTGAACCTATTATTATTATTATTATTATTATTTTTATTGTGATTATTACCGCGCCAGTCGTTTCAGGATTATTATAGTCGCGCGCGTACGCTATACGTATATTATGTTAGTCGCGGGCTCAGGACTCGGTGGACTTCAACAGAACAATACTCGCGGTAAACAATATAAAATAATAATAATAATAATATACGATAGTGCGATATCACTGCGAGAGTTACGCGTGCGAGTGCTGGTCAAAAAGCGCCTTAGAAGTCGGGCCCCAAGTCCTATATATATATAGGCGCCGGGCAGGTATCGGGTGTGAAAAGTATACAGCACACACGGTTTTACATAATAACAACAACAATATAATCGGTTTTCGATTTTCTCGACGTATATAATATAATATAAAATACGGTCGTATTGTACACGCGCTCACACTTCCCCGTCGTGTATTTTACACCGACCATAATAATATGTGCTTGGGCGAATTATCTGACGATTTCCCCCCATTTCCGTTTCGTCTGGTTTTTTTTTTCCACACATTATTCGATTGTACTTTATTCCGCGACGATATATGTATATGCGATATTATATTATACAAATGAGTATACAGGTACGTGTAAACTCGACGACACGCGCTAATAAGGCCCATTATTTATTTGTTCATTTGGCCGTTGTCGACAAGGAGACATCGCCCTACTGCTTGTGGAATTAATTATATTATAATATGACGTATACAGGATGATCCAACAATCAAAATCACCCCTTTTTCCACTTAAGTAATGAATTTGTAAAAAAAACTTCTATTTTTGAATTTTTAATTATGTGTACCTATACTTACTAAAGAAAAGTATTTTCAATTATTACAATTTTTTATACCATTTTACAAACTTCATTCTTCCAAATGAGAACTAACACTTTATTACTTTAACCAATAAATTAATTGGAATTTTGATGACTTTTTCGAAAGTGTTATCTACCATGTAATTTCTGAGTTATTAATTGTACGTTAAGTATAAACTAATGATAATAAAGTAGGAAGTCCTTAAAAATGATTTTACAAATAAAATAAAACTGATGTGATACCTATTTAAATCTAGTAATTACTATGCTCGGAATAATGTTTACAAACTGTACAATAGTGATAAATTAATATTAATTACTAAAACATTCAAATGATTATATAGCCTCCATATCTTCTGAACCCGTTACCGTGGACCTGTTATCCTTATACCTACACAAAGTTAAATAACTCATATTAAGCTTCTCGTTAGAATTTTGATTTAGGTGGGACATGGGACATTTTAGAAAAGTCATCTGATTAAAAACTTTACTAGAAAAATGGTAATTCTCACCGAGAATCTCCACAGAACACTTCTAATCTAAGTATTTGGAAATACGGTATTTATAATTAGTATACAAGGAAACACTTAATCAAAAAATATATGTGGTCGTAATGTCGTATGGAGTATAGCGCTAGTTAATCATAGACGTTAAAAAAAGAAGAAAATTTGTTAGAGGCTCTAAAGATGTGGAGATACTGGAGAAATATAGAGAAAATTAAATGGATAGAAAGAAAGACAAATAAAGTACTAAAAGATTTAGGAAAAGAAAAAAGAAATTTTCTATAGCAAACTGTTTATAAACAGTATAAAAACAAGGCAATGGCGCATATGATAGGCCATTCCCTGAGACACAACGAAGACCCATAACACTGTACTAGAAGGTTTGATGCAGAAGTGAAACCTGGAAGAGAAAGACCAAGAACAAATATTGTATTAAACAAATAAAAAAAGATGCAAGAGTTGACTCGTACCGACAACTCAAGGATACAACATACGCGAGGGAATTGTGGAGAATTCATTTAACTGTAAGCTAACCTACAAATTGAAAACTAAAAAAAAAAAATAGAAAAATTCCAAAAATGATCATTCGAATAAATTCATTAGGGTGCTTTGTGAATCACTCTGTATCTATATATTATATGAATCCGTATAGTTCGCCATTATTCATTAAATACATAAATATCACCTAGTCCTCGTGACTTTATAATTTTTTTTATTGCACAGAATAATATAATCAGATGTATGTGTATCACCGATAAAACACAATAATTGTGTGCAGTGTATGCAACGATTAACATGTTTCGGCGTCTCGCGGTTTACTTTCATTCTTCGTTTAGCTTTCCGATAAATGATGTATTATATTATTTACTTATACGGGGTGATCCGATTAAATGACTACACGACTAATTTCCAAGTAGGTTTTTGTATTTTTTACGGATCTATCACACTTTATTACAATAAATAAAATACTGAGTACGTAATTATTATTTTTTCGTAGGGCCGTAGGGGTATTTAATTGTTCCTCATTACAATACATACGCCTCAACATCTTAAATTTCAATTGCGTAACTAGGAGCAGAAATTATTTATAAAATAGTCAATGTACCAATATAATCATTGAATATTAAATGCGTGTTGATTTGAATTAGAATTCAAGACTTAGCGGGTAGTGAATATACCTAATATACCTACCTACTGGAAACAGCAAAAGGTAAACACCACCAGGCACCTAGGTCCTAGGTATGTCCAGCTAAAGTGGTTCACATCAACAACATTTGAATTCCGAAGCTGTAAAAATCATAGTGGTACCTATATGAATAAGTACATAAAAACGGTTCAATAGCTGTAAAAAAAAGATTTTTCTAAAACTTCCTGAACCCGATTCAGAAAATGAGTACAACAAGTGTGTTTAATGTAACACCCTGTATCGACACATTTATACATTATACGGTATACAGGTGGCGCGGTGAAAATCGCGAGCGTAGACATTAATTGTCGTCGCGGTCGTCTCCGACGTGTATATATTATATATCTAAAATAGATTAAATGTCTATACATATATTCTCGACAAAATATTGATAAGAGCGCCCGTGCCCCACGTCTTTCCACTCTATTAGTTTAGAAAATCGAAAAGGCGCCAAAAATAAAGTGATATTTTTATATTTTATCGAGTTTTCCACTTAACATTTAAGAAAATGCGTTTACTCCAATATAACATCGCTGCAGTTGCTGTAATCAGTTAAATAAAGACAGTTATACCGTTGGGCGTATAGGACGCGCCCATATAAGAAATACGAGTGTATTTAATATTAAAATATTGTAATATAAACTGTACACGGTTAGTGCGGTCACCTTTCGCACTGGGCGATTCCGACCCTTCGCGTTTACATTATTCACTTTAGTGCATATTTTATAGCTATACGGTCAGTGTCTTATCAATAATAATTAAAATGGTACCTCTATAATAATATATACAATGAAAATCTATACTATTTAGGCACTGTATAACAATTACAGGCTGCGTCCCAACGTGCCCCACAGTCCTTCTACGATATGGTTGAGGACATATTGGGCTGCAAAGAACATGATGATAGGATAGCTGAGGCGGGAGGAAGATTCAATCTATGGGTAGCCGCCTCCCAAACGACTGAACTCTCAGAGGGCAAACAGTAGAACGTGAACACAGACCGGGTTGGGAATAGGATCAGCCAACGAGACCTTTAATTATAATTTGTGTACATTGTAATGTGTTGTAAGGTTGCATATTTCATGTATTTATAAATTTTATAAATTGTATACCTACACCAATAAGAGTAGTATAATTGTTCAAACAAAGCCTCTTCCGCTGTCAGTTTAACAGGACAAAATAAATAAAAATTGCGACATTCAACTTATTTCGACATAATGATCTAATGATTAGGTACGGTCAATATAATACTATAAGTAGGTACGTTATAGGTTTTCAACTGTCAGTATTATAAATTATCATCGTATTGTCCGTCGTAACAAAGAAGTACTGAGAACTAACTACTGAATGCTGGAACACATAATATAAGAAATTATATATATTTCAAACACTTACGGTGCCCAAGACAATAAGATTTTTATAGTTTTAGTAAATCTGAAATGTACCTAGATTATTTATTAATACTTTATTATTTCTATTTGTTAGATATACTGTTCAAGAACAAAACTTAAAAATATTTTAGTATTTAAATTAAATCTTTCGTTTGGATAATAGTGGAAGTAATTAATTGTAATCACTACATAGTCGATTACCAAACGAATGTAATTTAAGTTAAATTAGAACTTTTAATAATTATACTTATTTTTGAAATAATATACACTAATTAAGTAATGATAATTATGCACATAATTAGTAATAACCTAATAATAAAGATATGATTGTTTATTTGCATTATAACAATACTATAATAATTATGGTAACAACGATAATGGTTACAACATTTTATATTTTTTTTTTTTTTTTTTTTT